GAAGCCAGTGAAGGGAGCGTAGGAGTGGTAAACATTGTATAAAGATACATAAAGTGAAAACTGGATACAAAATCCACAATCAATTACAAATTACAATTTCAAGAATCTGCAAATAAGGTGGTCTGTCCTCATGAGCAATGTAAACAACATTGTATCATTTAGATACCGAAAGTACAATATATTGAACACTGTGCTGCTGTCATTTCCCCCTAATGATAACCTGAGATGGTGAATTATAACTCACAATGAAAATTGTTCAGGAAAGTGGGTATAGAGTAGACATGTAGAACTAGATAAGCTTATGATAAGCCAGCCTTGTCTACTTATTAAGGAAAAGTGGGAGGTTCTTTTTAATGAACAGTAGCTTCTCTGCTTTATCAGCCATAAGTCTGTTCCTCTTCTCATCAAGCACATGAGAGGCAGCGTTGAACAGTCTCTCGCTGTCAGTGCTTGTGATTTGATCTTACTCCGCATATTTGTCCGGGTGTTTTGATTTCAAGTGGTGGAGTAATCCCGAAGTGGTGAAAGTCTTTGCAGTTACACCCCCTCGAGAAATGTCAGCTGAACACGTTTTACAAATCGCAATCCGCGCCTCTTTCTCTGATATTTTTAAATATCTCCAAGCGCCAGACATGTTGGCTGTGAGCCAGCCGCGAGCATGGTCGCGCGCCGTGCTTGTCGCCGCGTTTTGATTACTTCATCACAACAACACGTTAGCTTACCAACGTAACCCTGTTCTCTGACATTCGGCTGAAAGCCGAAAGGGCCTTTTTAACCATTTTCGGCCGATAATTTTCGGCGGCCGAATATTCTGTGCATCCCTAGTAATAAATATGACTTTGATTTTCTAACTCTTAGGAACGCAGGCCTTTCACAAGCTGGAGAAAGTGCTCTCAAACGAGAGGGTTTTGAATGATGTGGAGAAACTCAGCCCCCACCAGCAGACTTCACCTTTGAAGGCCTTCCACAGTGCCATCCTACGCTTTGCCCCACAAAACGTCGTGTTTCCATTTCTTGGAATGTTGTGCAGGTAAAATAAACCATAGTTACTTATAATTAATGACAATTTGTACATCCTTTGCTATTATTTACATTTTTTTGTTCTCGTTACGGAAATGAAAGACTGTACCTGGCAGCCATACACTATAATGAAAGGGCTGAACGCCCCACTTCATCCACTGGAGACCCTCCGTATGAACTGCAGGCCCCAGAGCCCAGGGAGGGAGAGTGCAGAGCAAAAGCTGGAAAGACTGACCCCACATTCCGTAAGTGTTCAAATGATTTATGATACAACTATTTACACAACAAAATGTACACGTTAGATTAGATATTTTATATTTCAAAACAAACTACAGCATTACAACAAAAATGGTAGATAAATGCTGAAGTAAATGAGTAGACTTGCATAGAAAATAGGGCTTCACGATATTGGAAAAAACGAACATCGCGATATTTTCTTTCCCTGCGATATGAAAAAATAAAGGAATTGAAGAAAAGACCGTTTTTTCGGTCCGCTAACCGTCCTTTCTTGAACTTTAATGCGATACAATTGGTATTTTTTTAACAATATGTAACCGGATGAAGGATTTTAGTCACGGACGTCTGGACCTTAAGTTATCAGAGCAACAAGCTGAGCTAGCTCGGTTACCCTGCCGTGCTCTGATCAAGAATGGTTGTGATTGGTGGTTTGCTCTGCATGCAGAGCCTGCATGTCACTCACTCGAGTACCCCTGACATGAGAGCCACGCAAGCTTTCCTTTTGTAGCAAGCAGCAAAATAATTGTAACAACAATTGTAATTGTAAGGTGTTTGAGTTCATTTGCCTACTTAATATCGCACGTCCTAACATGTCAAAAAAATAATAATATTAAAAAAAATTCAATAAAAAAAAATGGCACGTCCTGCGATGTATATATCGCGCATGGGGATAACGCGATTATCGTTGTGCTTGTGCGCAACAAGCACACGTAAATAAAAATCAAAGATGTATGTACACCTATGGTAAATAAATAGGTTGCAGTATTTAACAAAGTAGGTAAACATATACAACTGTTAAAGGGGCCAGTAATGTTGGCATTCGTACCGTTTCAAATAAAGTATGTATTTCACATGCATATAACAATCTAAACCAAACATTTATTTTTTTTAAATATTGCACAGGTTACGTTGACAACTTAATGGACCTCATCTTTGATCAAGTCTTTGTGGACCCCGCCCCATTCACAGAGGAGGTTCTGAAGATCCCCGTCCCAGAGGACCTGACAGGGAGGAGGTCAGCACAAAATATGCTACGTGGCTCAATTTTGACTGCATTCTGAACACAGACGCTTTGGGATCAAGAAACTCCCTGAGGACAACGCAGATGCATGACTACTCTGATCCTGGGCCAGCTCACTAAACCTCTGTAAGCTAGAAACCTGTGACGCCTGGAAGCATTCCAAAGGATTCCAAGTCAAAAGCCTATGTGACTTGTGTGAAATGTATGTATAGTTACTTTGTTATGGGTTCAGTGAAGCGTTTGTTTTTCCGATAAAGTTTTGGAAGTTTGTATAACATGTGTCATGATTATTCATGTCTGATGGATATGCTGAAGGTTGTGTGGATAATTTGTTGTCAACACTATGGGGTGCCATTGCCGTGTAGTATATCATATAATATAGTAACGCCATGTACAATGACAGAATGAAAAGAAAGATTGCATAAAACATTATACACCAGTATTTATTTTCATTAACAATATTACCCTAAGTTTTACAAATGAATTCATACAAAAAAAAACACTCACTGCTGTATTTGCCTCATCTATAGTCGCTCATATTCAGCTCTGCATCTGTCTTGACACCGTGTGATAAACAAATACTGAATGTCATGCCATGTGAAAAATATATATTCTCTAAAACAGACAACTTAGTTACGCTCTCTAAAATGTAACCTGTGGTATCTCAATAGCACACATGCTCAGGTTCAGCAGGCGTTGTAGAGCAAGTTCCACATTTCTACCTGTATAAAGAAGTGAAGAACTGAGCATTTCAAACTATACACATTGCTGACAAGCTGAGACCTGAGACACAGGGGCAGCACAGAGACAGGAAGCAAATGCAGACACGAGACAGGGGGTGAACACCTTTCAAACACGAAATAGGAACCCTACACACATTTCAATTAAACTGTATCGACTTGTCTGGGCTCTTTAAAGATATTTTTACATTTAGTCAAATTGAATAACTTTGATGGCTGATTATGACTAATTTACTGAATGTTTTAATGTAGACTTGACAAGTAAAAATGGTCTGGCCATCAGTCTTGTTATGTGTCCTGATTGGAGGATTTTCCAATGTTGTCAAACAGGGAGATAAAACTAGGATGGAGGGATCTCAGCGACCGACAGAGGGCGAAAGACCACGAGGAGGTAATAGCAGCTCCCGTCTCACCAAAGATCATCTATACTGAGGGACCTCTCACTCTGTAAATCTTTCCTGGTACAGAAATGGTCGTCAAATTGATCAAATGTAACATCTATAAGAAAAATGATGGATTACAATGATTATAAAAGAGAGAAAAAGCAGTAAATTTGAACAATATGACTGAAAAATGTCTGTTGTTGCCCATGCTGTTTAATTTAGATAATGATATTACATTGTGTTTCCACACATATGCAAGTATTTGTATGCATTTTTGGAATAAAATACATACGAGCTATATAATTAAGGAGTACAATTCAGCGGCTCTTATTTCGTCTTATATTACTTTATTTTGTTTTGCTTTCACAGCAGCATGTTAACAAGGCAAAGCAAGAGTTACAATATGACACAACAAATATGAATGGTGTATCACTATCTATATATGGCCTACATACTGTATATGCAGTATAGAGTATGTAAAGAATGCGCAATATAGAAAAGTTCAATAAGTAAGAACACTTTATATGTGTGCATATGTAGGGTACAAATGTTGATTGTGTATATATATGTATACATATTTGTATATTGTATTCCTCGGGATTGTGGGAAACGTTAATTCGATCTCTGTCTGTAAACACAGACTAAAAGATTGACAATAAAGTTGATTTTGTCTTGACTTTTGATTTTGACAGAGTACTACCAAAAAAATGATATATTCTATTCAATTCTTAAAGTGGGCAAAGTAGCTGCAGTTTTTAAAAATACGGATTTAAATGCAATGACGTAGTGTGAGTACATTCTGTGAAAACAAGCATGAGCATGTACTGTATTTATTTAACGCGTGACACATCTCCCCAATATAAACGATCTTTGTGTTCACACGCCCAGCCTCAGCACCAGCGCATCCTTTCTCCACGGGGCTTTCCCCCCTCAGTGCGCACCGACATTAAGAGGAACCATGAGAGGGGTGAGGCCTATAGGATAAGCACACACTGCTGGACCCTCTTCTCCCCCCGAGCTCGAGTCTCTCGGTCCGGTATGTCGGTGAGCCTGCTCTCGCCATGCCCGCTGCTGAACGCTCCGTGCTGCCGCTGCCGCTGCTGCTCTTTCTGCCGTCGCTGCTCCTGATTTCCTGCCTGGATGAGGCGGTGGGAGCAGCGGAGGAGGGCGGCGGCCTGCCCTCCCCCTCACCCGGGGACAATGGCCTCACCGTCGCAGTCGTCGGAGAGCAGTCCGCCACCGAACCCACCGCCCCGGGGAGGTTTCCCAGCACCACCGCGGTGATAGAAGGTAAACAAAAACAGAAAGGAGCTGCCCGTCACTCAGGCATTTTTAGGGGGAAATGGAAATGAGCTGCAACACAGGAAACAGTGTGACTCATAACTGGATCGTGGAGGAGAGCACGCTGTTTGTTTTAAACATATTGTTTCATTGCCTTGGGGGGTTTTTTTTGCATCAAAGTGCTGCAGCTTTATGTGATTGAGGCACATGCTGTAATTGTGTCTATAAAATACATTATAAATTCAGCCAAAATGCCTTTTAATTACTTGTAATACTCCAGTGGCAACATAATGGATACAGTATGGATGGGAAATGAGTCTGGCCAACAGGCTAATAGGATTAGGGAGCATAATGTGGAGCTTTGGGGATTAGGGTTTTTATCTTTGTGTCCGAGCAGGTGATGTATTACAGTACCTGTGCTCACTGATGGGTAGTTGTTTACAACTCAGCATGGATGGTGGATTTACATATTAAACAACAACAACAAAGGACAATTGTTCTGTCTAGTCACTCCGGCTCTGGTGTTACTAGTGTCAGATTTACACATCACGACAAGATTCATATATACACAGCAAAACAGGCAGTTTGCACTGTACAATCAAATAATCACGCTCAGCTCTCCACACCTGAATATTAAGAATATATACATACAAACAAAGATATAAACTAGCATAATAATTTCTGTAAAAAAAATACAAGCTGACTTACATTTAAAAATCTCAGAATAAAAGTGTATGTCTAAATATACAAATATGCATAATAACAATGGATAGATGCAAAAGTATGAATGTAACAGTGTACAATATACAACAGTAGGCCTATAGTGACAGAGATATAATTAAGCTTAGTATCACCACACTGATAAAGATTACAGTGCGTTACAAGAGCATTCATATTCAAAACAACAGCAGGGAGATTTCATATATAAACCTGTCGAATCAAGCTTCTTTCCCCGAGTCGTTTACTTCAATAAGACGGCAAAGTGCATTCTGATAAAGATTAGAAAAAGACTGAAAAAGGATGAAAGTCAATAGAGAGGTCTAACGATGGCGCGTGTGGTGTATTTCCATCCCGCCACAGACGCAGCGGTGCCTGCCTCATCACTTTTTCATGGTGAGAGAAAGGTTAGCTGCTGCTGAGAGGAAGTGACTGAGGCTGCTCTGCATACAGATAGGACACATGCAAAGACACACTTACTTGTAACTCTAGCAGCCAGGCAGCGTACCAACCTATTAAGTAACTAAGTACATTCACTCAAGCACTGTACTGTAAACTAATTCTCTTGCACTATTTGATCTGTTGATCTGTTTGATGTCCTATGTTCATGTTGCCCTGTTGGAGGAGCCCGTGACTTAAGACTTCCATTGCCACATCTACGCTGTAGCTAATGTGCTACTTTGTACTTAGGTGCCTTTCCTCCACTACATGTATTTAATCCCTTTAGTTACTTTACAGATGTGGATGAATGATCTGAAATATAATCAAGTGTTAAATCAGACTTTAGTTCCACCTGGAGTAAATCCACCAGCTACCCTGCAGTATACAAAGTCATTCAAACTAGCTGCACCTTTACCAGCTTTGAGAACACTTTCATGATCAATCATTATAAAACATATCATATCTATTATTCTGAAATGGACCAATCTGCACAATGGTACTCTAAGTATATTTTGATGCTTATCCTTGTACATAAGTAACATCTAAGTACTTCTTCCACCTCTGATTAATACAAGTGATTTCCTTGTGGGATTTTGACAGTGTAATAGAAAGTTTCTACATTTGGTTGCTTTAATAAAACCTGGCATTTTCTCCCCAGAGCCCGAGTTTGCCCTGAGGGTCCTGGTGAGGGACCTGGTGACCCGCCAGGCGCTGCCGGGGGCTTCAGTGGACGTTTACCTAAACCACACCCTGAGGAGCTCCGTCCGAACGGGGGAGAGGGGGGAGGTTCTGCTGTGGGTGGCGTACAGCCCAGGCCTCAGCCTTACTCTGCTGGGCAACATGGAGGGCTACGTCCCCAGCCCCCTGCCCTGGAGCTCCAGCAAGAGACCCAGTGAGTGTCCGCTCAACAACTTATAAAAACCTTTGGCTATTGAAGAATATGTCAGATTTCTGAGGGAAAGATTTGCCCAAATATTGTCATTATTCTACCTTTGAACCTGGCTTCTCTGCTAAAATGCTAATCGCTGAATCCAGACCAGCCCCAAGGTCACAGCTGGCCCTGACCCCCCCTTGCTGGTGAAGAGGATTTTCCAACAAGGATCGATCGGACCAAACTAAAACCTAATCAAGCCATTGAGCTCTTTCTAGTACTCAATTGAAAACGTTTTGCTCAAGGACGCATTTCTCTTCCACAAACACTATTTTATATTACTGTAGGAGTCCGTTAAAGGTTATAACACTATAACTGTCTGATTGTAAATAGGCTGTGCAGCCATTTGTGATTTATGCCAGCAGCCTGCATTATTTATGTTCATTGCAGACGAATGAAGTGTCTCCGGCAACACACAGCGTGTCACAGAGGTTTGTTCATGACGGGGTGATTTATGTCCAAGTGTCACGGGACCCCGTTATTGGGTTGGTTTTCTTTACAGCAGCATGTGTCTGACTCCAGCGTGGGGGGGGACACACACATATTCCTGCCTCAGCAAACTGTCTTTCTCCTGCGCCCAATTACATGAGGAGGGGGGTGGGGGCTCCCCCGCCACACAGATCTCATGTTGGTGTAGAAGAGAAAAGGGTCTATTGTCCGTGTCCACTTCCTCTCTGAAATGGACAGAAAAAGAAAGGAGGTGGTGTTTACATCAAAGATGGAGGAGGGGGGATGATGAGAGAGTGTCATCTGGAGAGCTGCTCTGCATGATCACAGGCGCCTCCCTCTGGTGCTGCTGATCCCTCAGGAGAGGACGTAGCATCGCCACCTGCTGGCGGTGTTACAGATCTACATGAACAGCTCGTTGAGAGAATGACACAAATACTTCTCTCCTTACTCATGAAATCACTTTTAAAATACAAATAACATCTGTTCTTTCCATGTTTATTGTCAAAGGGTTATTTATAGATTACGTTTGATTCCTGTCAGTTCTTTAAGGGTGTCTTTTGTCTCTGAGAAAGACTTTTGGAAGGTTTATAAAGAAGAGTGTGTGTTCTGTTTGCAGTCTTCTCTGCTGTGACGTTGCTGCTGCTCCCTCACAGTCAGGGGAACATCTGGCTGTACCAAGACTCCGTCCTCATCACCGGGAAGTTACCTGGTGAGTTTCAGAAGCCCCTTCACTCTCTACCAGCTCCATTTTAGGTTTCATTGAGGAAAGATATTTACATTGATTGACATTTAGTTGTGAATTGACTAAGCTAAAACCAGTTGAAATGTAGATGTTTACAATTTAATTTTGAAGGGATTGATTGTGTGGATAAAGAAATAGCAGAGTAACTGCACACATACAGTATCTACATTTTCAATATGACTAGGACACAGTCACCACTAATATGACTATAGAGGTGAACTATGATACTGTTTTTGTTTCTCAGATACATTCAAATGTAAGCCACCAACATCCTTTGGTCTTTTTCTTTTATTAAATAGATATGATCACTTCTCTTTCATCTATATGGTCTAACAAAATGAGAATCACTTTACACATTGGAAACACACTGTGTCCAGATGTAATCAAACGCCTCCATGTTTTACAGACAGCTCATCCCAGCCCAAGGTCCAGTTCCCGAAGAGCCTCCTCACCAAGTCCGATAACAGCAACGTCTCCTCGGTGACGGCGTACCTCACTGTTCCAAAGCACCACCTAGCCAAAGACTGTGCCAACTGCACCCCCGGCCTCATCAGCCAACAATCATGTGAGCATTAAATAAAGCCTTACTATTGTTTGAAGCTGGTTTCTAATCAATTGTCCCGAAAGAATCCTGACCCATTTCTACTTTGGAGAGAATTATGGGGAACATCATTTAGACTAAAAAGACCACATAGAACACATTTCTGACAAGTAACCCCCCCCCCCCCCTAGTGTCAGATATTTGAAAAGTGACATATACGTCACTTCGGGCGTTAATGGTAGAGTAATTCTTATTTATAATTTAATAAATGAGGATGATATTTTGGTTTACATTTTTTTAAATTGAAGAATATAGAATATTTTAACTAAATATAATTGAATCAGCTAAATTAACTAATCATATTTCTAATTGTGACATATATGTCACTCTAGATTTTCTGAGAAATGTTAAGGTTAATGTCCTGATGTGACATGAATGTCACAGCGATATTTATCTCATTTGTTTCATATCAATTTGATCATGAAATGTTAAATGTAATAAAGGACATGTTATGTAAGCATCATAATTCTTGAATTGCTTGAATCTTACCTTAAGCAACAAAAAACAAGCTTTTGAAATGTAGCTATTTCTGTCACATTAGTCACAACATCTTGGACTTGTTGTTATGGGAACACAAAATCACATGACCCACCAGGCTGTTCAGTGTGTCACTTAAGGACTTCATGAGATAAAATAAAGGCTAAAACTGTATAAGGAACTTTCCAGAACATTTAAATGTCATGTAACATCTTTGTCACGGTGGGTTCTTATTGGTTAAAGACTTGGTTGGGCACAAAGGGCCAGCATCTTTAAATGAAACAGATTCTTTCAAACTATAATATAAAATAATTCCGATCAGAATGTAACCATGTGAACGTCCTCTGACTGGATCACTGCTTCCTGTGTGTGAAGTGTTGAGAGGCATCGAGCTGAAGGCGGTGGCAGCGGTGGATATCCTGCTGTACTCTGAAGGTGAGGAGCTCCAGGTTCGAGGGCCCATTCACATCAGCCTCCCCCTGGGACACAGCACCCGCCTGAGGGCCTCTGACACCGTGCCGGCCTGGGCCTTCAATGTAAAGACAGGTGAGGATAAAAGAGAACAGAAAAGACACAAAATGACTGACACATTCTAATCACAAGAAAAATAACCTCAAAAAGGATAACATATGATGACATGAAACAACATAGTATCTGTCAATATTGTACACTTAGAAGGGATGATTGAGACTGGTTAAAGGGGGATTATATGGGGTACTAGTTTGTGGCAGGTGGCACGTCCTCAGTTTGGAGAAACAGAAAGAAGTTCAAAATCAATATCAGTTTGAATGCACGCTATATTTAGAATATTTCCACAGCTTTACATGTGTAAAGAAGCAGGATATAAAAGGTACTTTCCTTGTGGTAAACCCGCGAGAGAGAAAGCGTTTGAGCTCCATACTGTTTCAGAAATAATCCTTGATGTGGTTTGGAACAGAATATGGCGTTTAATCACCGCAGCGTTTAGCTGAGTTTCTGCTGGTAGACAGCCTTCTCTTCACAGAGCTCACTGCTTGCATGCGGTGCTCCAAAGGGGCGTGGCCAGCAGCAGCTCCAAAGGGGCGTGGCCAGCAGCAGCTCGGTTACAATTAAAGGGCCAGGCCCAGAATCAGCACTTTTGTAACAGGGCTGAAACAGAGGTGTATGAGGCATGGCTACAATGGGTGATCTGTTTGTTGTTTTGAGCAAAACACTTCAGAGACATGTTTTTCTATATGTCTGAGATGTATAATATATGCCTACAAATATTATAATAGGAGACCTTTAATGATCTGCTCCATTCCAACAGGTGCCTGGGAGAATCAGGGTCTGGGAATAGTGAAAGCAGAAGGTAACGAGCTGGTTTGGACCTACACTGCTTCCCATCTGGGATACTGGATCGCCGCCCCGATTCCCTCGTCACACGGTACCTTCTCCTTCACAAACTCCTGTAAATGCAGATTGAGACGTTTGTATTAGTAGATCTCTCATGTCTATGTTTTTATCTGCGGTTAGGTTACCTGTGGCTTGGAAGCTCCTTTGATTTCACATCGTACCACGCCTACCTGATGATGGGAATTATGGGAGCGTCGCTGGCTCTTGTCATCGGATGTCTCTCCTTGTTGCTATGTCACTGCGGGTAAGAGATCTGCTCAGAAGGGCTTCAATATGCAGTTTAAAAAAACAAATGTTACATCACTTGTTTAGTCTTCATTATTTTATGAACAGAAGTACATTTTATGCACTATATATAAAAACTCTTATTTAAAGTTGTCTTTTTTTTAGACATAACTAGAAAATGTATTTGGGGAAATGTTAACACTTTAACTTGTCATTAGTTTGTCCTAACAAGTGGAAAGGTCCTGTATTCCATCCTGATTCATCTCTGTTTCCTCCTATAGGCGAGGTTCTTATCGAGAGCCGAGGAGGAGAGCACGCTTTTCCAAACTCACAGTGGTGAAGAAAGACCAAACCACCTCCACCCACATGGAGGAGGGTATGCTGTTCCGTTCTGGCGACAACAGCCTGGCTTCCTGCAGTGTCCAGTGCGACCCCTCCCTCACACCGAGGCACAAAGCCAACTACAACATCTATGTGGAGGATCCAGGGGGCCGCCCGGGGGCCGCCCTGTACGAGAACATCGCTCTGGATCGGATCAAAGGCTCCCAGCAGCCCTCTCACTATATCAACAGTGACGAGGTGGCACGGATTCGGGAGAAGTCGGAGCAGAACCGTTCCAACATGAACTCTACAAACTTCTTTCAAGATAAGCTGCTCCACATGGCTCTCATCCAGGCTCCGGAAAACTGCAAGTCGGCCACTTTCCCCCGCAACGACGCTCACTCAGATCCTGATAAAGACAACTACGCCCAGACACTCCCCAAAGGTGGAAGCAGCCCCCAGGAGAGCAGCCAAGGTGACCCCCAGCCTCTTGAGACCCCTCCTCCAGGCGCTATGTGGGGCCGCTACAATAACCCGCTGGAGTCCTCCGTCTCCGTGCCTGGGACTCTGAACGAGGCGGCGGGTATGGGGGGGCACGGGGGTGCCAGCGAGCTGCAGGGGATTTCCGAGCGCACTTTGCTGGAGCTGACCCGGGGGAAGTCTCAATCCCGCGCCTGGTTTGTCTCCTTGGAGGGGAAACCGGCCGCCACGGTGCGCCACTCCATCATCGAGCTACAGGGCCGCCACCGCCCCCACAGCAGCAACGACACCAGCCTGGACTCGGGGGTGGACATGAACGAGCACAATGTCCGCGAGATGGAGCGCGACAGGAGAGCCACCCGGGCCTCCTCCCTGCCCTACCGCAGCCGGGGGGGGCGTTACAGCGAAGAGCAGGACCTGAGCAGCAGCGAGAGCGGGACCACCGCCACCTGCACCCCCGAGGACCCCTACCTCAGGAACATTTTAGACGGGAGCAGCGGGGCCATTCCGAATATCCCCGAGGAGCGAGACGGGGTGGATACGTCCAGCGCTCAGGAGGACAGCGAGTCCAGAGGGACGCCCCCCCCACGCCGCCTGAGGAAGGTGAGGGAGAAGGGGAAGACGGAAAAGAGGAGCGCAAAGCACGTCCGCGAGGGGAGACCCCTGACCAAGAGAAGTTAGAGCATGGCAAACATTAGGCTTTTTTTTTTTCATCAATGCTTAATTTAAAGGTCACCTATTATTCAAAATCCACTTTTCATGTCTTTTATGCATCAACATGTGTCCCCTCTGTGGAAAGAGATTCTGAACGTTTCAGGAACAAAGATTTGCTCACTTTTTGTCCTGAATCTCCTCCTAGAGCACCATTGAGTTCTTTGTAACCAAATGTCTCTCAGAGGGGCGTGGGGAGGGGCTCCTTATTTTCATCTAAAGTAACAGACAGAGAATCAGCACTTTGGAAACAGGGCTGAAACAGAGGGGATTATGGGTAATGCTGCAATGATCTGTTTGGTGTCTCAGCCAATCAGAGACAGGCTCTGATATATCTGAGACCTGTGAGATATTGATGAGAAACAGTATGATAGGAGACCTTTAAAAGTCACATTGAGCTGTTTTCATCACATGGCGTCTTTCAAATGAGCTCTCACAGGCATTGTTGGTGTTTTGTGATTGTACAACTTTGCCAAAGAATGCATAGCTCAAGATAACAAGCAGGATCATGTTTAATCATAATGCTGTTTCAGGAGTGTGTGCACCACCTTTCTCCTGAATGTGAACATCACCAGCGAGACTCTTCACAGCTGAATGTCCGTGAGAACACCACATCCCACCGTCTCCAGCCCCAGCGTTAAAGAGGGTGCCTTCTTGCTGCCTGTCATCATTAAATATGATCACATAGGGCACAGTATTTGTCTAGATTTAGTCAAATCCGGTGAGTTTGCAGGATGGACACAGTGCACTTATCCTCACCATAAATGCCTGCTGTTAACACATAAGATACACTAGCTTACTGACATTATGCTGTCATCATTCGGCCTCATTATATTGGATTTCTTAAGAACTATCTTCAACTTCCCACCTCTCACTGACTCCACTGGATTCATTGTGAAGCTGCCATTTTGAAGTTTGAACACCTGATATTTAAGGTTTTAGCCCACGATCATTTTAGAATGCATGAAAATGAATGTTTCCTCGCGTGTATGAAAATATTTTGTAACTAGTTTACAGCTTTAGTCATCAGCTGTTTGATTACTTGGGGACTGAATGATACTGTTCATTGTCTTGGAAAGAGACTCAGTGTTGTGCTGCCAACTGTAAGGGACTATAAAACAAAAATATTATCACAATTTATGAATCACACCAGAAGCCCAGCAGATACACTTTGAAAACAACAACTCTACACTTTACTCACTTAATTTGGTGCCTTGGAGTTTCCAGCATGTATTCCCAAACCTCTTAATACTTTGTCCTAAATATATTTACATCCTGACCATGTTTTTTTTTTTGGGTATGACCGTAGAAAGAAAACGCTTTTTTAAAGGATTTTTTGAAATAATATTTTGTACAGTGAATAACGGTTCAATATTAATACTACACACTTTGTTAAAAGGAGAATTCTAACAACACAACTTGACGTGTAACCTACTAACAACCAATTTGTATAAAGAAGGATTTTACTTTAAAAAAGAAGTCTGCCATTCTCATCTGTCAGCTTTAGTTTTGATTCCAATAAAGCACACTCCACTTTAATACGTGCCCTTTTGTTACACTGGCACAAAGAGCTACGTTTGGAGACTCTATTACGGCAACAGCACAATATCTGAACACTGACACCGGTCATCCGTGATACAGTTTGGCAAAACGTCACCACAAAGCGGTTTTACGAGCAATATTTACCATCAATTGAAAATCTAAAATGGAACTCTTAACAGTTTTGCCATATTCAGTCTTCCGTATAACTGTACAAATGTTCCCCGATGAGTTGACTTTGTGTATTAGGCTGGATTCTGTAGCTACATTCATGTGTCCTTCTGTGTGTATATAGTAAAGCAACATTTCATGTATTATGTGGCTGTGACTTGTTTTGTGCCGTTTTTCTTCCATCTCAAAGTCTGAGAGGTGTGTTTCGCTGAAGGTTTTTAAACCAGTCATGAGAGGTTATCCATATGATTTGTTTAAGCTAGCCTAAAGAGTCTTTTAACAGGGAGTGTACAACAAGCCTGAGCTTTGTGATTTTTAAATGTAGCAACAAGTGGAGCACTTAATCATTCAGTATGCTTACAAATGAAAATATGTTCTCCTGGTAGCCATCAGCTTGAAAACACAGCACACAGTCGTTTGTGAACTCTTTGTGCTGATGTATTGCCACTCCCGTTTTAAAGTGATCTCGCTGAATGTATTTGTATTGATTTGAATGTGTTCTCCAGTGTGCCCCTCTTGTGTCTACCCATTGAACCTTGTGGGCTTTTGTTTCTTCCAAAATGGGCACCTCTTGTGTTTACCTCTGTGATTATGGTAGTGTTATTAGTATTGCCTTTTTGTGCACTAAATTAATAAACTTACTTGATACCAAACATTGTGCAGACTTCTCATTATTCAAATTGCTGTGTGTGTTTATCACGACTCCAAAAGGTTCCAGCGCTGGGTTCTCTCTGAGCGGCCCCTTTTCCACCAAACCAGTTCCAGTTCTAGCTGATAGTAGATATGTGTATATACATGTATACTATGTATATACAGTTTAAGCCTATATTCCTGCTACTGCAGTATTCTTTACCTTTTTAAAGAACATTTTTAATTATCCTGAATTTTGTATATTGTAGTATATAGTTTAATGTTGAACACACTGCTCCTATAACAAAATATCCATCTATCTATCTATCTACAGAATATCTATCTATCTATTGGTCAGAGTCACTGGAAAGGCAGGAGGCGAACTTCCTTTCACTGGTTGTCCAAGTGGGGCGGTTATAAATGACATGTCCATCCAGGGGGAACGGGTTGGACTTCCTCAGGATCGTCAGTGTGGAACTAAAGTGGGTAACCATGCCACCTTTTATACCTTCACCTGGCTGCTATATCGCTAAACTGTTACTGCTACTGGATGTCTATCTTGTAAATTGTGTAATTGTTATAGAGATATTAACCCAGATGTTTGTACCCACGGGGAAACAGATGTTACATGACATGTAAATGTTCTGGAAAGTCCGTTACAGCTTTAGCCTTTATTTTATCTCATGAAGTCCCTAAGTGACACACTGAACAGTCTGGGTCATGGAAACATTTAAGATTAACTTCGACCTCCTATGGTCTTACTATGTAGGAGTGGATTGAGCAGTGCCTATCTCCAGAAAGCACCTAAACTACGACATGCAGAGCTACGTGAAGAGCAGGTAGACCAACTGGAAAAGTACCACCATTCAAAAGCTTTCTGATGCGGGTCTTGAAACAAAGCAGAGAAATTATGACCGTTAGTGGCCACAGGTGCGAAAGCTCTCTCCAGAGCTACTGGAAGCCCAATCTCGGGGACCGGAGAAAGTGGAGCAATATTCTCGCCACGCCAAGCAACAGCCTCGAACAACCTCAACCTATACAAGTGACCACGGAAGCCATGCTACTGATGCTGGACAGGTTTTCAGTGGGTGCACAATAAACGGCAACTTTTTGAACTTTTTGAACGGACGTCCCATTGCTCTTAATATGGTTTGAGGTTGCTGTTGAAAATGACTCAGAGTTGTCGGATGTGAGGGAAGGGAGACAGAGTGGAATTGTCAATGGTGGGGGAGGGGTTGTTGTTATTGTTGTTGGTGAGGGATTTGGGACCTTTGTGGTTTAAATTCTACAATAAGTGAAACACACAAATCAAAAGACATCAAATGTTTGTAGCACATACACTCATGACTTCCACTTTCTGACCTGAAACATCTGCTGGTGACAGGGCATCAAATCTGTCGACACAATGCTGCTAATCCACATTTCCACATAATTTCCGTTGTGTTTGATGAATTGTCCTCTTCTGTGAATATTGGACATTTGAATCTAATTTTACAACATCCTCACATCTGTACAAGTGGTGTCCGTTAAGCTGTTTTGGGACTGATAATGTTCATGGGGTCATGTTCTGGCCAATAGTGCCACAAAAGTCCTGAAACATGACTGTAGTGAAACCTTTTCAGTCGGGGTGGGAATCACCTGGCTCCCCACGATACGATACTATCGCGATACTTAAGCCACGATGCGATAGGATTGCGATGCAATGTTTTGCAATATTGCAAATCACATGGGTCATATCCATGTCCGTATTTCTTTCCTGGTTAAAAAATGTATTTGCAATTTGAATAGTTTATGTAAATAAGTTATAATCCATTGTGTGTTCTTTGAACCTGAAAAGGAGATGGCATTGTTTTTGTTACTTTCATTGCAATTGTATACATGTCTTAACGTAACTTCCTGTTTTATATACGACCATCTTTCGGAGGGATATGCTACAGTGTATATACAAAAAAGAATAACACGCAAAGTATCGCGATACTATGCTGTATCGATTACGTCCCCCACCCCTAATTTTCAGCAACCAGTAATCCACGGAGCACTTTCAAGATCTGTGCCTCTACAAGTCCATGCTGAAATGAATCTGGTGCAGAAGTATTTCTTTAACATTGCATGTCAACAGGAGAAAATTTACAGTACAAGGGTGGGTCAGCTGTTTGAAAAAGAAATAAGCATAACATAGCGGCATACATAAGACAGGTTCAAAGGTCATTTTCAATGTGCAAAGATTCAGAACCAATCTTTTAACAATGTATCACTACTCAGTATACAGAGGCTACTCAGTAGAGGCTACTCAGTATTGGCATATCCAGCCATGCAGTGGGGTGGTTTGTGAACTACCTCTCTGAAAGGTCCCAATGTGTTCATTTTTGATGGGCTGTCTTCTGAGTGGTTAAACATTACTAATGGTGTTCCTCAAGGTTCTCTTTTAGGTCCACTTTTATTCTCCATATATATCAACAGCTTAGGTGATAATGTGGATGAAGCTACTTTACATTTTTATGTGTGGACGATACCGTGATGTACTGTGCAGGTCCCTCCATTCAGGAGGCGGTTGTTAAATTACAGGCTGTTTTTAACACTGTTCAGACTCAGCTCTCTGAACTAAAGCTTATTTTAAATGTGGATAAAACCAAGATAATGCTCTTTTCAAAAGCTAAAAAGACACCAGAGCCTGTTTTAGATATTGTAACTACGCAAGGAATAAAACTTGAAGTTGTTACCTGTTACAAATACCTTGGTATCTGGCTTGATGATTGTCTCTCTTTTAAACTGCATGTCAATAACCTCCTTAAAAAGCTGAGGGTTAGACTAGGTTTCTTTTTCAGGAACAAGTCCTGTTTCTCACTTGAGGGCCAGGAAAAGGCTAGTCACTGTGACCTTTTGACCTGTGCTGGACTATGGTGATCTGTTGTATATGAATGCACCTGCCAACTACCTGAGCAAACTAGATGCTGCGTATCATAGTGCTCTGAGATTTGTCACAAATTGTAAAGCACTTACTCATCACTGTACACTGTATACCAAGGCAGGTTTACCATCACTCACTGTACGGAGGCTCAGTCACTGGTACACTTTTATCTATAAAGCTATGTTGGGCAAACTCCCGTATTATATCTGTTCATTGATAAAGCAGAAAGTTGCAAGNTATATATATATATGCCGTTAATAACTGTTCAATATAAACCTGGCTGCTATATCTCAGAACTGTTACAGGATGTGTATTTACTAAATAGTGTAATTTTGCTTCTTAGTTGATATTAAGCTGTCTTTGGCTCTGCTGTAACACATTTCCCCTCTGAGGGACAAATAAAGGCATTCTGATTCTGAATCTGTCTTATAATGAATCCTAATTTCCAATATCAACAGAAATACATTTTAGAATAAAGTTATCTTCATACAGAGGTGTAAAGAGGAATGCAGTCAACAGTTATATTCATGCATACAAAAAGATATGAACAGATTGTAAAACAGTAAATTAAAAGTGTAAAGTGTTTATTATAGTAATAATGAGAATATTCCAGTTACAAAAAGAGTGCCAATCCTACAAGATTACCGACTGGCTATTATCTATTACTATAAATAAACTATATTATATCAAAAAAGGGTTATTTTCACTGAATGACTGAACTTGAAATTGGAGACTAATCAGCAACAGTTTACATTCCTCAGCAGCGGTGCCCTCTGCTGGTCTTTATATGTTATAGTATCATGAACAAAATGTAGGAACAGTTTAGTTTCCAAACGCTGTTTAAGATGAATACATTCATCGAAAGCATAGACTGTGTTTGTGTTTAATAAATAAGGTGTTCACCTACTGCATTCAAAAAAGAAATGTATTTCAAATAAAGAATCAAATCTAAACCATGAAGGAAATTCATTGCTAAATGCATGTGATTTAAGTAACGTAATGTAAGGAGGGATGAAAGTAGACACTATTATAAAAGGTATATCTGAAGTACCAAGCTAGATTCTAAATAAATACAAAAATTAAACATTTTAATAATAGTTTTATCCAAAGCCCCATTTGTTTTCAGCAGTTTATTTGATTCAATAATATGCCCCTCCCTGGTCTCTTTATTATGTTCATTTCATTTCATTTCAAACCTTTATTTAGACAGATTGGTCCCTTGAGATCATCGATCTCATTTACAAGGGAGACCTGCATCATTTAGTTCCACATGAAACATAAAAACAACATACAAACAAACAACAGAGGATATCATATTTACATATTCAACATTTACAAATACCCAGAGTGTCAGAAAGCATTTCATTTAGACGTGCCTTAAATACATTCAGAGAAATAAAAATGCTCAATTTCAATTTTGCCTGTAGACTGTTCCAAGCAAGTGGAGCTGCGCACATAAAAGCTGACTTCCCCAAGACAGTCCTTACTCTTGGTACATCTAACAAGACTATATCCTGCGATCGCAGACAATAGCTGCTTGCAACTTTCTGCTTTATCAATGAACAGATATAATACGGGAGTTTGCCCAACATAGCTTTATAGATAAAAGTGTACCAGTTACTGAGCCTCCGTACAGTGAGTGATGGTAAACCTGCCTTGATTCTGATACAATTAGTTGTTCAACTTTGTTTCTGTTATTGTGAGAACATTTTATAGAAGTAATTTACAGNTGACAGGTGGGCCCGCCCCCAAGTCTATTAAAACAAAATGCCGCTTCCATCAATCACATAATTGGGGCGGGCCCTTCTGTCACTTTTATGCATACTAATGTGATGGAAGCGGCATTTTGTTTTAATAGACTTGGGGGCGGGCCCACCTGTCACTTTTTATGCATACTAATGTGATTGAAACATTTTTTATGATACACCATAAGGCGCAACAGTGGGGGCTTTTCACACCTGTGAATACACATCAACCCCCTCCTATCGACGGATCTCACACCTACTTGAGATCTCACACCTACTTGAGATCTCACACCTCGGGGAGGCGGGACTTAGCTCATTAGCATAATGGGGGAGGTGTGACCTGTCACTTTCTATGCATACTAATGAGATTGAAGCGGGATGAATAATACTACTGGGGTCTACCAGGGACCATGGTGGTTATATAGTCTGTGTAGGGGTCTACCAGGGACCATGATGGTTATATAGTCTGTGTAGGGGTCTACCAGGGACCATGATGGTTATATAGTCTGTGTAGGGGTCTACCAGGGACCATGATGGTTATATAGTCTGTGTAGGGGTCTACCAGGGACCATGATGGTTATATAGTCTGTGTAGGGGTCTACCAGGGACCATGATGGTTATATAGTCTGTGTAGGGGTCTACCAGGGACCATGATGGTTATATAGTCTGTGTAGGGGTCTACCAGGGACCATGATGGTTATATAGTCTGACCGCTGCTCAGTATTTATTGGTTATATGATAAGAAAGTCCTTGAAACATATCCGTAGTATTTCTTTCTGCCATGTAAATCAGTTCCCCAATGTGCAACAATATCCATAACCATGACAGCTATAGATGAAATATGTCAACAGAAAAACAATCACTGTATATGATTCAAAGTCTCTAAAGATCATCAGCTGGGACACTAAAGTTCACTATCAAATATCATACATAATATAAAGGATACGGTGTAATGTCATCGACCCTTTGTGACGGACCTTCTTCTGAAGGGATGTCCTCTATCTGTGATGTCATCCTGAGCTCAGTCAGCTCTCCTCTGCTCAGTGACTCTCTGACTCTGTTGTGAAACACATGTACTCAAGGATTAGTCCAAAGGAAGTCTTGGAAACAGCTATTCTTTCCCTACGAAGGTAAACTCTCCGACTAAAGGAACAGTCTTCAAGAAGTGGAAAAAGTAGCTCCTGTGAAGGTACGTTTGCAACAGTTTCTCAGCATGTAGACTGTGATTGCTGTTGGAACACTCTTATGGTGCTCAGAAAGGGGAAGTGTTCATTTGTGAATGTCTTTTTGAACTGTTTATGCTCATGTGGACATAAGCCCTTATATTTGTATCTGACAGGTCTTCACTGAAAAAGAGATCGATGATCCCAATGGGACCACCTGGTTAAATAAAGGTTTAATAAAGAAATCTCTACAAAACATTAACGAATATGACATTCTAATAATATATTCCCTTTCAAACATATGAAACAACCAGTTACAGTACATGTACTCACTTGCTCACAGAGTATCATGATATATGGCTTTTTGATGTATTTAATGCTAATAAAGCTACATCAGATCCACATGGCAGCTCCCCTCTTAATAAAAGTGTTTGGCTCATAATGAAAACATTCCACAATACACCCATAGATTGTGATTGAGAGGGACTTATATTCTTAAGTAATTCAATATAATAAAATTCAAACCATACCTCTGTCGATTGTTACTGCTTTGAATGCTTTTGGTTATTATTTTGATCTTTTTTTTACCACCATTAGAACTGTTCCACCGACTGGACATTAACATTTGTATAATCATTTAGATAGATGTTCTACTTCTCATGGGGCATGCTTTTACTGCATTTGCCACGGTAATGTCTTTTGGCTAAACCTTGGTTCAACTTGCTCAACGTGCTTAATAAGCATGCAGGAAGGAAGCTGTGGGGAACAGAGGAAGCTAAAGGTCACATCTGTAACCCCTAATATCCAAAAAGGGGTGACCTGCCTTTAAAAATGAAAGACCCGGGTTTGGATACATAGTTTTACTGACAGTTTTGTTTACATGACTTATGAATTTAAAATAAATGTAACATGTGAAGTATTGTTTTCTTGTACAGCTCAAGTTATAATACATTTTGTTTTCTCAGTTACAAACTTTCCTCAGAAAATCCACGATGGAACGAAACTGCGTCATGTCTCTCCTGGTCTTTTGCACCCTCAATAAGGTATCTTAACTGGGCCATGTGTCACCTGTGCAGGCTTGTTTTGCATTCTTTGCAGCTTCACCATTGACTTTTATAAAATTCATTCAGTTTTAGAGGTGGAATTAGGAGTGTATTTGATGTATTTGGGCAATGCATTGTTGACATAGATGATCCCCTGTGGATCCACACCGAGTCAACTGCTTCCATACATTCCATACTTGTCATTTGAAATGCATTATTTGTATTGATTAACATTTAAACCCCATCTGATGCAGTCATTGATTTTGTATTGCCCTTCCATAAAGTTGAGTAACTTGTGAGAGAAGGATCAAAAGAAAAATGAGCTAAATCACAGCAGTAGAAGCTGAGATATACACACGTTACACTAATAGTAAAAGGTTAACCTTGACCCTACACTTCCCATGATGCAACTTGGGATAGATGTTAGTTTCCCAAGTGCCCCGAAGACAATTTCTCCTACTTGAGAATCTGGACGTGCAATGGAATGATCTAGGGGGTGAGATTAAATAAATTATAATTCTCCTCACTCCTTTTCGAACACTATGTGGGACTGTTTATGTTGCTAATGCTGTTGTTGTTGTTGTTGTTGTTGTTGTTGTTGTTGTTGTTGTTGTTGTAAATGTCACTTTGTTTTGTTTTCTCTTACATGACTATGCACTGCAAAACATTTAGTTTTTTGTAATTATTTATTTTACTTGTTCGAAATAAAATGTATCAATCAATCAATAAATCTAAATTGTGTATTTGATCCACATAAATCCTCATGTGTTGGTGCTGGCTGGAGAGTTGCACACTAATCTCTACATCTGTGTGTGTTTCCAATTGTGTCGACAGCTGCTTGTGATGGCGACCCCTGAAGATGACCTGGTGGAGCATCTGAACCACCGTGGGGAACACCAGGCGACACGGAACCAAATCGCCACGGCCCAGTACGAGTGTTTCCAGAGGATGGTACAAGATTCCCACCGCAGAGCCAAATCAATAGGTGAGAGATCAGATCCTAGGACTGATTTTGATCTCCCATATTTAGTCACTCTAACATATCAGTGTGTGTCTTTTGTGAGCAGGGCCAGTGTGCAACACCACCTGGGATGGGTGGCTGTGCTGGGATGAAACTGAAGCCGGACCAACAGAGCAGAGATGTCCGGACTACTATAAAGATTTTGATCCTCATGGTACAGTTATGACTAACTTAAAATAGTTAAAGGTCACCTATCATGCAAAATGCACTTTTTGACGTCTTTTATACATAAATATGTGTCCCCGGTGTGTAAGGAGAGTCCCAAAGTGTCAGAAAATACAATCCTCTCTCACCGCTTGCATGCGGACGCTCCAAAGGGGCGTGGCCAGCAGCAGCTCGGTTACATTTAAAGGGCCAGACCCAGAATCAGCACTTTAGTAACAGGGCTGAAATAGAGGGGTATGAGGCATGGCTACAATGGGTGATCTGTTTGGTGTTTTGAGCAAAACACTTCAAAGAGATGTTTTTTTATATATCTGAGACCTATAATATGTGCCTACATTATTATAATAGAAGACCTTTAAGTTGAGGCTGTCAAAAAAGGACGTTTACCTATTAATGGAAAAACAACAACCTTATTCCCACTTTTTTAAAGTGCATTCTCACAGTTTTTAAGAATAAAACGTCTTTAGGAGTTTAGACGGTGAAGCTCTTCGGCTATCCTTCTGATTTTGGTTGAGAAAACGTGACCTTTACTCCTTTTCTTAGATGAATATCAATGCCACTCTTATGTCCTTTAGCTTAGCATAAAACAGACAGGATGGCAAGGGGAAACAGCCAATCTTTACATCTCATCTAATTTCCTATTATATTTCATTTGCTTAATCCAAACACAAACATAAATGTAATTTTGGTTGTTGCAAATGTGTTCACAGCAATGGCCTCCAAGGTGTGCTCAGAAACGGGCGAGTGGGGACGCCACCCCGAGAGCAACAGGACGTGGACCAACTTCACAATCTGCCAAGCCAACACCACGCATCACGGGAGAGTAAGGAGGAATAAAGACATTATACTAATTATATAAAGCAGCTTTTACTATTATTTTATGATTGAGATTACTATTCTTTGTTTTCTTGCAGCAGGCAATGACTCACTTCTATCTTGTTATGATTGGTCACGGCCTGTCGCTGGTCTCACTGCTCATATCGTTAGGAATATTCTTCCATTTTAAGTAAGTATTATATTGTGCTAATGTTTTAAAGGTCACCAAAATCCAATTTGTCATGTCTTTCATTCATAAATATGTGTCCCCTCAGTGTAAACGAATTCTGAAAGTTTCAGGAAAAAAGATTCTCTCTCTTTTTGTCCTGATCCATTTATATATACCTTATCACCTGAATCTCCTCCTAGAGCACCATTAGGCGCTTTCACACCAGAGTTCTTTTCCCAGGAATAGTTCCGATAGTTCCTGGGATTTTGCGTTCACACCAAAAGGTTCTGGAACTATAACTTTTTTTTGCGAACCTTTTCACCCCTTTTTAGTCCCTGCTAGAGAGGTGGTACTTTCCTGGGGAGGAAAAGGTTCCAATTTCTGATTGGCTGGGCGAACTGCAAACCACGCCCCGTAACACTCGGAAAGGTTTTGTGAAGCCGCCATTGTATTTGCTGGCATTAGCATTATTATTAACATTAGCATTAGCCTAGCGAACCAACGGAGAGAGAATAACTTCTGGCAACATAAAAGAAAACATGGGAGCGGTGGAGATGAGGAGGTGTTGGCGTTCTGGCTATTTACTTGGAAAGGGAGTCCCAGAAGCTTCTACTGAAGCCAGTCCCAAACTCCGGGGACTTCCGTGAAGTTGTTTGCGGCCTGCCAGTAAACCCAAAGCAGAAGAAGAAGTGACGTCAGCGGCTTCATTTGCTAATCCTCCCTCAGGGACTTATTCCGGTGTGAACGCGATCTGTACGGCAAAGTACTTGGTGTGAAAGCGCCTATTGTGTTATTTGTAACCAAATATCCCCCAGAGGGGCGTGGCCAGCAGCAGCTCATTAGCATTTAAAGCTACAGACACAGAATCAGCACTTTTGAAACAGGGCTGAAACAGAGGGGATTGTTTTGTATTCTATTTATGAATTTGTGTTTGTATGAATTTGTGTATGTAAATATGTATATATATAAATATATAGAGACCATTCTCCTAACTTGCCTGTTAAGATGTAAAAATAAAAAAAATAAAAAAGGGAGCAGGGGTCGGATTAAATAAGTGTAAACTTCTTCCGACCCCTTTTCGTGTAATTAGTTAAAGCTTTGTTGTTTATTGATATCAGACAATGATACTACAGATTATTCAATAATTGATTAAATATTTCGTTTTGTTATTGGATTCATTTGTATAGTACTGTATCATGTCTGTATCATCTTTTGTTTCATTTGTATTTTCTTTGGTTTTACACGCTCGAAAAAAATAAAATAAACAATAAATAAATAAACAATGGGATGCTAAAATGCACGATCTGTTTGGTATTTCGAGCCAAACACTTCAGAGACATGTTTTGTGTATAACTGAGAACTATAATACATTGAAGAAAAAGAGTATAATCGGGGACCTTTAATGAGAGTTTTTGAGTTGTAGGCTTCAGATAAATACTGTAACTTATCAAAAGGCAGCCAGGTTTGATTGGACACGAGTCAGCTTTTAGATTCTCCTAAAAGTATCTCTTAACATTTCTTATGGATAATTTATCAACATTTACATCCGCTGCCCTCAGGAGTCTGAGCTGCCAGAGGATAACGCTCCACAAAAACCTCTTCCTCTCATTCGTACTGAACTCCATCATCACTGTTGTCTGGCTTACAACCGTGGTAAAGAAACAGGGACACACGTACAACGATTCTGTGAGTGATCCCACTTTCTAAATCCTACCAACATTGTTTTAAATCATTGAAAACATGAAGAATGATTTTTATTTTCCCTTCTAGGTATGCTGCAAGCTGCTCATGTTCATCCACCTGTACCTGCTGAGCTGTAACTACTTCTGGATGCTGTGTGAGGGCATATACCTCCACACCCTGATCGTGGTTGCCGTGTTTGCAGAAAAACAACACCTCGTGTGGTACTACCTGCTAGGCTGGGGTACGTAAAGACACAGAGAGATTTACTTAACCTCTCAACTTAAGTACAATTTTGTACTTTGATTCATGATGTGAAATGTAATCAACTCTTAAATCAGACTTTAGTTCCACCTGGAGAAATTCACAAGCTGCAGTATACAAAGTCATTCAAACTAGCTGCACCATCTTTACCAACTTTGATGCTTTTTAATGCATCAATCATTATAAAACATATCATATATATTATCCTGAAATGGACCAATCTGCACAATGACTACTTTTGCTTTTGGTACTTTAACTATATTTTGAATGCAGGAGCTTTACTTGTAACAGAGTACTCTGTGGTACTTCTACTTTGACTTAAGTTACAGATCTGAATACTTCTACTTTGACTTAAGTACAAGATCTTAGTACTTCTGCCACCTCTGCGTAAAGACATATTTATGCACTTTTACTGTCAAATGGCTCCCTGAACATCTGTTGTTGTGTGCTCATTGAACTCCCAACCCAGAAGCCTTTTAGCGTTTTTTGGAGTTTACAGGCCTGAGGGGCGGAGCTTTATAGGCTTTAGTGAGGGGAGTGGTCTGTACTTGATTGACAGTCCAGGTGGTGATGCAGGTCAGGAGGATTGCCATAAATGTTCCCGTTGCATTCTGCAGGTTTTCCACTCCTGCCGACGGTGATACATTCGATAGCGCGCTTCTCCTTCTACAACGACAAGTGAGTCTTTTCAATTAGGATGACCATTTCGAAATAACTCGTAAAGTTGTGTGTTTTATGATAATGTGATGTATGCTTTTGCAGATGTTGGGTCAGCTCAGATACCTCCTTGCTGTACATTATCCATGGCCCCATCTGTGCAGCATTGGTGGTAAGAAATCCTGATTTACTGACCCACTAAAGACTTACTTCTGCCAAGACTGTTACACAGGCATTTGGGTTGTAACCACTTTTGGTTTCCAGGTGAATCTTTTCTTCCTGCTGAACATCGTTCGGGTTCTTATCACAAAGCTGAGAGTGACGCATCAGGCCGAGTCCAGCCTCTACATGCGGGCGGTGAGAGCAACGCTCATCCTCATCCCCCTCCTCGGCATCCAGTTCGTGCTGCTCCCCTACAAGCCCCAAGATCACTGGGTCTCTGAGATCTACCTGTACGTCATGGAGATCCTCATGCACTACCAGGTAATTGTGCCAATAAAAATCACTAGTGCATTATATAACGATCCATGCTCTTGTTGCATAACTGTCCAACGGCAATATCCTCAATAATACTGTTGTTAAAAGTGACCTTTCTAGAATAAGAGCATGAATATGTGGCTTAAGGGATGTTGTGTATCTTTGCAGGGTCTCTTGGTTTCTACAATTTTCTGCTTCTTTAACGGAGAGGTGAGCATTGAGCTTGATTCAGCATTACATTTGTCCGATGCTGTGTAACATTTGTTTTGTTTATATCACATACACAAGCATGAAATGGAATATAAAAGAGGAGATGACCTCCGTGACCTTAAAGCTCACCTATTATGCTATATTTGAAAAATATATTATAGGGCCATATCTTTACAAAACATGTATCTGTATTTGTCATACCCCTTTATTTCAGCCATGTTACTAAAGTGCTGGTTCTGGGTCTGGCCCTTTAAATGTAACCGAGCTGCCGCTGGCCACGCACCTGTAGAGCATCCAAGCAGTGAGCTCTGTGAAGAGAAGGCTGTCTACCAGCAGAAACTCAGCTAAACGCTGCCGTCATTAAACGCCATATTATGTTCCAAACCACATCAAGGATTATTTCTGAAACAGTATGGAGCTCAAACGCTTTCTCTCTCGTGGGTTTACCACAACCTTTTATATCCTGCTTCTTTACACATACTTTCTCCAGTACAGGTTAGCTCTGAGGGTTAGCGATGCTTGCTAATGTAAACACAGACCATATTACTTCCAAAACACGTTGCACATTGTTTCTGATACAGTCTCCTTACACACCGGGGACACATATTTATTTAAAAAGACATCAAAAAGTGCATTTTGCACAATAGGTGACCTTTAATACTGGCTTCATGCCTAGATGGACGCTTCAATGATGGATATGAATGCACCAAAAATGTATTATAGATGGTCTTTGCTTAATGTTTTCCTAAAGATAACATGGAATGTGAATAGTGCAATCTTTGACCGCCTTCTTCTGCGCCTCTTCCTGCAGGTTCAGAGCGTTCTGCGGAGGAATTGGAACCAGCAGCGGATGCAGTTTTCAGGCACGTTTGCCAACGCCGACTTCTTCCGCTCGGCCTCCTATGTGGCGTCGTCGCTCACAGAGGTCCACCGCTGCTACAGCATTGAGAGCCACACCGAGCACATGAACGGCAAGAGCTACTCAGACATCTTCAGATCGGAAAGCCCTTTCGTGTGACGGAGACACGTGAGACACCGTTTCTTTGACCTCTACCACGATGTTACCAAGATTGACGTCTTCTTGGAGTGTTACTACTGTTCATGGGAGATGAATACAAACTTTGTGGTTGTTTTTAAATCTCTCAGCCAAAAAAACTAAATTACCCTTTTTCACAAATATTACCAAAACAGAAGGACACCTTACAAATATTCAAAGGACCCATTGCCGGACAAAAGGAAGACCCCCTGAATCTAACGGTGTCACTGTAAAGCATTAACTTAAGGATGTAATGCTTTTCTCCATCATGTGGATTAACTTGAAGATACCATTTTAAAATGGGCGGTTGGTGCTGTGGGAAGGTGATGCACGAAAAGCCTGTTTTCACAACTCATCTCTTGATAGCAAGAGCCAGAGTTAGCAGGAGCTAGCATAATGGCACACTTGAAATAGCAACAAATAAGTTGGAAAGGAAAACTTAATGCCAATCAGTCAAGAAAAGTAAAATAAGTAGCATGCTTTTTGTTGTTAGACTATACTCAACTACACCACAAAGTACAAACGCAAAAATAGAGCAAATAATTAGCTTGCTAGCTAAATGTCATTCCTGCTTTTTAACTACTTTTAATTAAATGCATGCAACTCAGAGTTTTCTATTTATGTGTAAGGTTAGAAGATAAGTCAGGCTCACTGTTCCTGCCTAATATCTGATATTCCAAAATGCTGGGGAGACTAAGATTCACAGAAGAAAATGTCTTGTGTTCTGTATGAATATGACATATGGAGGCACACAATATGAAGCCTTTAGTGAACTGTTTATACTTGGTCAGCTAAGAACACATCATTGTACAACACAACCTTTTAGAGGAATACAAAAAAAAGAATTCAGCAAGAACTGACATGTTGATTGACTGATAAGATAAAGTTAGTCACCTTCAGTAAAATACAATGTTACTTTCCTGTGGAGTGAAGAGCTGCTGGTTTCAGCCTTTCCAAACAGGAAATACACTTTTTCACTTCCTTGACGAGGTTTTGGTGAGAAGATCAAAACCACTCTGACTGATGTGTGTTCAGTAAGAATGTGCTTAGCTTAGCTTAGCATAAAGAGCGGAAACTAAACCTTTAAATCTGAAGCACTGAATATTTTATAATGCTAAAAAACGAGTTACTATCATGTACTATAATGATTTAGAACAAATTCAAAGCTTTGAGGGGTCAGAAAGACTGGAAAAGTACTGTATAAATGACGTCCATTTCACATTTGCCATTGAGTATGCTATGTTAGCTTAGCATAAAGAGAACGCGATTTCTTCGGAAAAAAACACGTAAAAAGAATATAGCTTGGGTTTTCTACACACAGAGTCTCAATAATAATAGGGCTTGTATTAACACAGGCAACTTTGAAAGGAGAAGGACATATATTATCTAAAATATTCTAAATAAATGGTTTGAATCACAGAAGTGTGTTTTCCCATGCTGTTACACACAATCATTCTACTCATTTTCATGTTGCAACATAGTTGTGTCAGTAAGTGCTTGTTAATACTGGAGAAATAATGCTGTAAATAAAAACAAGCTGTTTTAAACTGAGATTCAGAAACAAAGAGTCACTGCCTTTGTTTTTCCTCCCTTAATGTCTTCGTAGACAAATGAAATAAAAGATCTAACTGTTTTCCTTCCCACATCATTTAATTGAGGGCGGTATTTCCTTGTGTGATCTCAGAAAACGTTACCCACTAAAATGAATATTGTTTCCAGACAAAGCAGGGCGTGCTGCTGTCTGTTCCTCGTCCAGCATCCTTTATATGACCAGGTGCAATTAGGAAGTCCCAGAGGAAAAGGGCTATATGTATTCTTTCACTGCACCGTTTATCAAATGCAAAAGAGACACTGCAAAAGCACTTAGCGTGCCACTTTCATTGTGTCTGTCTGCAGAGCCACGATGATCAAAAGCATGTGTGTGAGGGTTTGTCATTGTAGGGGATATTTAAAAGCTATATTGCATGCTTCTCATGATCTCAGTCCCAAAGGATCCCGTGTGCAGAACACTAAACATGTGTCATTTTTACAATACAACTTTTAACATGCTTCCTGTAACACCATATGAAAGATGGTGACCTGAGTGGTTTCTAAAGGCACACTCTTCCTTTAGAACGATAGAAATCCACATGTAACAGATCTCAAGGTGTTTCTGTTGTTTACCTCACAACACCAGTCCCACCCCCCTTTTTATTTACCTCAGTGGAAATCAGAGCAGTGGATGTATTGCAGGCTTCCTGTTTCTAAGAATAAACTGCCATTGAACTGTTGGTGTGTCGGCTCTTGCCTGCTGGTAGCAAACACTTCCTCAGTCTCATGACTAACTTGTTTACTGCTTTCATTTCCGCATGCATCCACTGAATCCTAAAGCCTTTAGCCGATGTTTTGGATGTATTTCCATCATGCAACATTCTAGGTATTTCTCAGGAACGTTTCCACAGGAAAGGACTGAATGGAGCCACATGAACATGTAGACAAACCCACACCAAAGCTGCACAAGAAATGGTAGAAAACAACCGCGTAAATCAATTTGCTTTAAGAGCAATCTTCCCTTGAGCATCCAACAAAAAGTGACTCAATATTACATGTACCATTCCTGAGGAGCTCAGGCCGTCCCAAAAGCAGAAATATACACAAGGATTATGTTTTTGTTTGACAGTGTTAAACATTTCAATTTCACACTTTCTGCTTTTTGCAGAACAGAAGGTCAGAGTGTATTCATAGGGACTTCATTAAAGACTATATTAAAACAATTATACAGCATAAATATGGGGTTAAGATTAGATTTTGGGACATTCAAAGGTAATTTCCACATTATAATAAAGCATCTTACCAAACACCTTTTAATGCACAAGATGTGATTCATTTCACCTTTCCAGCAACAGCAAAAGTGGTATTCTCGGAATGCAAAGAGCCAAATAGCAGCCAGTAAACCCTTCAGAGACAGATCATACGTGAGAAGGTCAATACATCATGGCTTTGATTAAATGGAGATTGATGGGAAGTGCTGCACATCGCTTACAAACAAATAAGAAGATTAGCATTAAAGCTTTATTAGTTCATCATAAAGTTAGCTGAGGAAACACAGATCCTTCGAAGGAAGATTGACTTCACTTTCCAGTAAATCCCTTTAATTCAAACATTTACATTTCAGAAAACAATGCTCTGCCACACTCAGCGCGATGAGATACCACTTGAGCATGGGGATGTCTCACTCTGGAGAACAATGGAAGGAGTTCTTGGCCGTGGCGGAGGGTGTGGAGGGCGTACAGTACAGGGGTCAGGGTGAGCAATGTGGCCCGGCTGTGTGGTGTGACCCGGGTCTGGGTGGGACCGCAGGAAAGTCTGCCGCTCGCTCGCTGCACGGCCCCCTTCAGAGCACCGCAGCGGGGTCAGGGCTGATCCGAGTGATGTCAACACTTGGACGTCGGGTAGCTTCACTGCTGTGGTGTTTCTGGAAGGGCGTCATGATCAGAAGAATTCATCGGGTGGATGGTTCAATTCCACAGACCTGGCCATGGCTTTAGTGTTCTTTCATTTTCTTTTTGGCAGCTATGGGCCAGATGTCTCCACCTTTCAACCCAGATGCATTCATATTGAAAGAAACAGAAAGAAGTCTCAGTTTGATGTCATCAGAGATTTTAATGGGTCTTCTATTTTAGAATCATTTCGATTGTTTGGGCTGCATAACCCTTCCAGATCTCACTTGTTTGCAACATTATTATTGACGAACCAATGAGAAATAGTTTGAATAAATCGTTAACATTTAAAGAACTGATTTGATCTTTTAAAGTGTCTCATATCACAGGATCATGTCTGGTGTGCGCTGTCTCAGCAGTTGACTTTTTTGCAACTTTTATCGTAGTGCCGGTGGGAAAAAAGTCAAACACATATCAATTTAAGTTTTAATAAAGTATTTTAAAATGTAGGCTATTCCTTTGTTTGATGTGGGTGTATTAGGTATAATACATATACTTATTATCCACAAGGCCAGGTGTGAAAGTGACCAGATAGCCATAGGGAACTGTAAGTATTCTCCTTTCTTTTCTTTTTCCAGGACATCTAAGACATCCCGCCCGTCCGACATTTGGAAACCCTTATCAAACAATAAACTTATAACAGTGTTAAAGAGCCCAGTTCCTACCGCGTAGGGGGGGCTCTGCTCTCGTCTTCAGCAGCCTGATGCCAACAGGAACTCTCGCTCCTCTCCCAGTTTCCTGCCATTGTTCTCCCCCCCTCCCCCCCTGCCACCAGGCACATGCTCCTCCCAGGATCTGCGAAAGGTGGGATGTTAAAGCGGCCCACTTCCCTTATGAGGAGGGGTGTGTGTAAGAATGTGTGTAGAGAGGGAGCACCCATGAAGTGCAGATTGGTGTGTGGCAATCGGATTTAATTTAACATTTGGATATGGACATTTGTAGAAAAAATACAAATCATTTCACATGCAAGTGGCTATGCATTCTTGAGAATTTGACAACACACTCCCACAATGCACTGCTTACTTTAATAAAAGGTGAACAATCTTAATCCTTTCCCACAATTCCATGCGTTCAGCCCTTGCAGGCCTCTAGTGGGATCCTTTCTCATGATTCTTTAAGTGTTTGGAGGGGCGTCAGTGAGGTGGGGTTGGAGGGGGCACAGGAAGGAAAGGAGTAGCTGGGAAATCTCACGGAGGCTCCTCGGCGAACAAGAGACACCCAGCCAGGATCTGGGCGTCGCTGCCAAATCGTATCGGGGTCGTAGACTCCAACGGTCAACGTTTGTGTGAAGCAGAATCACATCACGTTGACTAACGCCGAACTAGAATCAAACTCCATCAGGCTTTCAAACAGATTTCACGTTTGAAATGTTAGAAAGTGAGGGGAGATAGAGGAGTGAGGGGCTCTGGTCTTATCTTACTGGTCACGTCCCTAGAAAATGTGTGCATTCTTCGTGTTGTGACAAATCATTTGCAAAACGAATGACCACTTCGCTGCCAAACTAAGATGGCCGCAGTCTCTTATGTATATTGTTTGATGTAAAAAAGCAACATAAATCACACGGTGACATTATTAATAGGCGAATACAAATGAAGGATGACAAAATCGTTAACGATAAAGATGTTGTGTGTTGGTAGTCTGACCATAAAAGTGACACGAATGCATGAATTACCCTTAAATTATGAATAGTATAAAATAAAAGCAGTAGGCTATGGTTCATCTTAGCCGTGACATTCTGAAGTCACCTGAGACATCCAGTGAAAAGTGTGGTTTTCTGTGTGTAAATCTGTTCATAATGTGCTGAGGGGTTTATTGATAAGCTCTGTTCAGATTCCTTCAACCTGCTCCACTTCAATCTTTCCTAATGTTTCAGGCTAAAAATGAAAATAGCGGGCCCTGGCTAAAAATGAGCGGCTCACAGATGTGGAGCGAGGCTGCAGGAAACGGTGAGAGTGTCACGTCTTTCAGCGAGCGCAGAGAGGAGAGGTCGACCCAGGAACATGTGCTGCCTGAACTTTGACTTTCATTCTTCCTGTAAGAACGCCTTCTCTCTCTTTGGCTCTTTCTCACCCCTCTCATTTCACCACACACCCATCTGCATTCAGCCAAGACACCTTTTTAAGCGCCTACTGTGTATTTGTTTTAAATGAGGGTGGATGCAGTTTAAATGTTATCAAAATGTTAGTCAATTTGTTTGAATGTTTCATGAGACATATGTACTAGTTTCCTTCTTGATGGTTGTTATTTCTCTCCTGGGATGGCCGATCACTGTAAAGAAAAGCTTTGTCGCCCTCTTGTGGTCAAAAGGTTATATTTCTGTAATTTCTGAGTTCATTTAAAGCGAAATGTTCTTCTTCTTTACGGGGAAACAAATGTTTATTCAACTTTTCTGGCTTTGGTTGTGCTGGGAATGTCTTCCAGTCATTCCAAATACATACATTTATTCCACATCCATAGTCAACAACAAACAAATAATTTGTAATTTACAGTCATATGTTGCATTTACAGTTGAAATGTTATAATGAAACATGAAGGTTTAAAGTGTAATAGGTTCCTGCACAGAACTTAATAAATTAGGTTCAAACATGTTGTTCATTGTTTATACTATTCAAATTAATAACTACAGTCACTTCTTTATTAACTCTTTCCCTTTTCAGACCTCCGGTGTGCACTTACTGGAAAAAAGCCAAATGAACAAGGTTTGAACGCTTTTATTTTTGCTATAAACACTTGTGCATTCTGCTTTAAACATGTTTTTAATATTATTGGCTGTTTTTTTCCAGTTTATGCACAATTCAATAACATCTTGTTTTGTTTCATGTTTGCACCTTTAGACTTCACTTGTCCTCCCACATGCATTTCCCTGTAGTACTGGTGCTCTATAGTACATGTATTGACAAGGTGAATAAATTACATCAGCTTCCTGTCGGTCATAGAGTGAGTACACTGACCTTTAATGGCTTTTGGGAAACGCAGCCATGTGTACAAGAAGCTACCCTTCATCGACGTGTTCGCTCACAGAAAGACAAGTCCTTATTCTTTCATTTTCTGGTGACGTTATTCCTCTAGAAAAAGCCTATTTCTGTCCATCTTGTGTTGTTTTATGAGAAACACACAGGGCCGATGTCCAGGCCGAACTCCTGATCAGGCTTTCCTATGTCCATGGGGGCCACGTCCACGACGGGCAGGCGGGCAGCAGTTAGAGTCCTGAACTCGATCACTGTCTTCCCCCACTGCCCGTTTGATTTCTGAGGGAAAAGAAAGTCAGGTGATATCAGTGGAAGGCTTCTTGCAATCAGAATACATTGAATCTAGTCATTCTTCGTTATTACAAGGCTTAGTTAAATACATTCTGATTGATCGATTTGGATATTCAGCAGTCTTCTGTGTTTCAATAGAACACGTGTAGTTATATCAATCTGCAGTAAAAGAAGTCTGTTCATTTCAACGTTAGCTCTTGCAAAAAGCTAGCTTTCTCCATTTGGGAACACCACGGCGTGTTTTGTGAATATTCATTTTTATATCTGTGGGGAGCTTCAAACTTTGGATTCATGATGGCTGAACTGTTCCAAGAAGTGAAAAGAGAAGAGAACAAGAAAGCCTGAGAAGGAAAGAGGTTCAAAGAAGACAGGAAGTAAACACTAAAGGGAACACGGTGTGGGCTCTGGCAGTGTGGTAAAGACAGACTAGGACAGATGATCTCAATCCGTGCTGCCATCATTTCAGGCTATCG